CAAAGTGAACTCTACCGCACTGAGCTAAAATCGGCAGGCACAGGCTTTGTAATCGCGATTCTTACCCACTCGGATATTCTTGTGACGAACTTATGAACAACGTTTCCTTTTTTTTTTTGAAGCTGTGCACCAAAATGGAGCAAATCGAAAAAAATTGACTCCAACTCCTGCGATTTGCTTGAATGCTTTAAACAATAAGGCAAACTTCCTGTTGAATTAAATATTTCCTTCAAAAAACCACAAACGAAACAAGCAAAGCAATCCAAACCGGCCATTAAATACTTTAAACCAATTCTTTATTTACATTATTTTCCTGATAAAGTAAACAAAAGTTATATATCCTTTGCATGGAAAGGCATAATTTTCACTTCATTCCTTGTACAGAGTGAGCTCCAAAAATTAGACTCACATCGTCCAAGTTTAGGGAGTGCCTTTCATTTTTCATCTATTCATTGGTCGGTTATATTAGAGGGACCTCAAAAAATAGGCTTTTATCGAGAAATTTTGTTTAAAATAAAGATCTTATATGACAAGTGCTCCGACCTGTCAAAACAACGTCGGGACGCCAAATTTGATTAAAATATCTCAAACGTTGTGACCTGTAGGTCTCAACACAAAATTATTTAAGCGATCGATAGATGGATGGACAGACAGACAGACAAACTTAGATCAATTTAGAAAATGGTCTGAATCGGTTGACGGACAAAAAGGCGAATCTGTCTTAAATCGTTCTGGATGTTGGATTATTGCAAGCAATGTAAGACTATGAAACGTAGCAAAATAATTTCTGCGTACCATAGCCCGAAATTGTTTTGGCTACGCGGATATTGATTCACTTCTTTCTAACAAATGTTGTGACCGAGGTTAGGGGCGAGTCTTTCTCGTTTTCGAACCCGATTTTTAGGTATGTTCTCTTTTTCAATTTTCATCTTTCGATATTAATTGTATTCTGAAGAAAACTCTGAATCGATCAGAATCAATTTACCAATAGTTCTGAATATTTCCCACGAAATGACAAGAAATTAGTTGACATGTATGTATAAAATTTTTAAAAAAGAAACGATGCAAAAGAAATAATAGAGCGAATTTGGTCTAGTGCTAATCTTTTTTTGTATTTAATGGTGAGACGCGAAATGATTTAAAGATGTGAAATACACATAGTACGTGCTCTTGCAACTTTCAAAAAAGAAAAAAAAATATTTTTGCTCGATATCAATGAAGAAAGTATCCATTTGCATGAACACAAGCGCACTTTCACATTTACATTACCGCATGATCATAATAAACACGTTTTACGCGTACAGTGGAAGAGATGGAAGGAGGTGTTGAGAGGGAATTTAACAAACACGTTACTAAAAGCGAACTCGAGCTTGAAACTATCACAAATAATGAAAGACGTTTCAACAGTTTTACACTAACAATTAAGTATAAAATCACTTAAGCGCACTTGAAACGAAATTATTTGTATTCAAATCATATAAGAAGGATCTTATATTGATCTCAAGAAAAACTTACAATTCTTCATAATTTGACAATCTACAATTTGTAGCTCTCCTCCTAAATTTCTCCTCGATATTTTGATGAGCAAAATATGTGAACATTTTTTATGCCCTATAGCACGCGTGGTTACATGAACTTTGTGTGGATGTATACAAAACGCCGGACGAGACTCTTTTTATTATACCAATCGAATCAGAATTACATCTAATAAGCTTATCTGTTTGTCTGTCCGTCCGTCTCTTTTGCCTTCTTATTTTTAACCTACAGATCGTAAATTTCTGAGATTTTTTCATGAAATTTGGGACACCGATCTTTTTGGCCCAACAACGAAAGCTATTGAAAATAGTCCAGTCCACATACCATATTACGCGTTATATAATAATAACTGACTGTATGAATCGAACTAGTGTAGGGTACCAAAAAGTGGGCCGTGTTCCACTATAGTATTTTCCGTGTTTAGAAACCTTCCAATTTCCCACCTGTGTATACTCTGAGCTACTTTGTACATCAAGAAAGACTTGAAGTAAAGTCTGATTGTCTGACTCCTGTCTATCCTATACCTAAAGTTCACAATTTATCTTTAAGGCGACGCCTATTAAAAATGAATTATATCGGACGATTTTTACAAATAACCTCCCTTGTATTATTGTAAAGCCTTGTATTATTAAAAAATCATCATATGAAAAAGAAGAAAGGAAAATATATTCGGTCGTGACCGGATCTTTTGTACCCATCAGTGTGATTCTAACAAACAGTAAAAGAACCAAATTTTCATACTCTACAATATTGAGTGAACCTGGCCGATTTCTTCTCTTTTCGGAATAAAAATAGACATTGTTGTGGTGTATGCGTTGCACTAAATGAATAACAACCAAAAAATACGGATAGAAAAGTGTTCACAATTTCCGTCACAACACTGTGCGGACGTTATAGACACGTCCTTTGACTAGTTTAGATTATTTGCAAATTCTTTTGCAAGTTTGTAGGCAATATCTTTGTAGGCGGTAACCTGACAGATATTACACTTGAACAGACGAACGGACAAACGCGCTTAAGCGCATTCCGAATTTGAAATTGGCCAAGAATTTATGTACTTCATAGAGCGTTATTTTGGAATTTGGATATGCTATAATATTGGATAAGTGTGGCCAATTACTTCCACATTTGTACAGACATTACAGTGTAACTTCTAGACCTAGGTTAGTTTATGACATCAATTTTTTGTACCTTTTGAAAAACAGAATTACCCTCATTTTTTCAGCGTGTCCTTCGACCGATTTGACCCTTTTTCAATACCAACCTGCGTGTAAGAATTTCTAAGGTTTTTTCCAAATTTGACTTTCAGTGTGGATTCAAAAGCCAAATACATATATATACAAGATCGGCTGCATATACTTAGCAATTACGTTGCACCACAATTATGTCAAATGGAAATGGAGCAACAATAAAAACAAGATTCCATTCAAATTTCGCAAACATTTCGACTACGATTTCACGCCAATCTAAAGTTGCTCTCAGCTTTCATACGAAGACTACATTCCGCTCTTACTTTTCAATTGTACCGTATGCAAACAATGTGTAGAAAAACGCCAGTTTAATATCATTAAAGTTACGAAGAAAGAAAACAAAGTAAATCAAAAAGTTTGCACATTATAACTGGTTCCTAAGCAAATAAAGACAATGTGTTAACAACATAATGCATGTACTTGTGTGTCGCATAAACTTTCTTATAAGTGTAAAGAAGATTCTAAAAATCTATATATGGACCTATCTACAAATCTATATGTGGATCTATATACACACGCATAAATATATATATGTATGTACTTCGGTATCATAACATTATAGACAATGAACTGCAATACTACAAAAAAAAAAGAACGACTATTAGCAGTCACACAAATTTTTATATAACGCACATATATGTACACATAATATACAAATAAAAAAAAACCTAACGCCCAGACTAAAGGAAATTTGTTAAGCAGACAGGCAGCAATCACAACAGTTCATATAGCAAACAACAGTGTACAAGCCAAAAATCGTATGAGATTAAGGGGAAATATATAAAATGCATTGCAGGAGGAAAAAACGAGAGAAAATTAAAATAATAACAATGGAAAAAACATAAAGATAATAACATAGGGAAACATGCGCATATCGGTGAGAGGTTGCAAAGCAGAGAGATTGTTTTCATTATTAAAGAACGAAAGAAAAAAAAAAAAAAAAGAGTATTTGATGCCAGGAGAAATAACAGTGTGGCAAATTTAACTCTTTTTTTTTCTATTCACTACTTAGTGCATGTAATAAAATCATTCTTTTTAATACTTCTTTCAAAGTCATATGCCTTTTATTCAATCTTTATTATTTACTTATTTATTTGCCGAATTTGTTTAAAAACAATCCAGAGACGGTTTTTGTACGCGTAAACAATAAATAATCACTCGTGTTATATATATTACGGGAAATGTAGAGCAAAGACTTTGAGATAAGCTTTTGGGGAGTACGTGTATCCAAATTACACTAGCACTGACATTGCAAATTAAAATATTTGTTCAACTTAGGCGAGAATGCATTGAATGTACATTTCATTTATCTGCAAGTGTCAATCCTTTGAACGTATAACTTAATCAAAACTTCTCAGTATATGGCTTCGACTTATAATGAATAAAGGAAATTGAGTAAAAGTTCCATTGCCTTTGTCATGGCTTTGAATTCGAAAATTTAGGTAATCATTTCGATTACTTCCTTCCCATCCTTCACTTCACTTCTTTTCGTTCCTTCGTTTCGCTTTGTTTTGTGTTTGATCCCTCTTTTCATAATTAATTCGCTCAAATATATAATCGAAAGCAAATCCCTCTTTCTCGATTGCGTTTTTCAAATTTCATGTTGGTTGACATTACTAGGCAGATAAACAGACACGTAGGGCATTTACGATGTGATTCACTCTTTGCTATCACTATTGCAAAAAGGTAATGAAATTTGACTAAAAACAAAAAAAATTGTGAATGAACTCACCGCTATAAAAATACAAAGAAAATATCAAAAAAAAAAAGAAAAAAAAAAGAAGAGTTTTACAGACGATAAGGCTTAAGAAGTAAGCATGTAAAAGAGCGAGATCTTAAAAGAAAGGTTAAATACGTCATTGGATGTAGGTATGTCAGAACAGATGTTGTCTGCTGACAAGAATCGCCTGATTTTCAGTTAGTATAAATTGAATTGGCAGCAAAGAAGATATTCGCAGCAGAACACGTGTTGGTTCTTGCGCTTTATGAACGTAAGAGAAATATATTTTTCGCTCCTAAATTTTATTTTTTAAACTTTCTCTCTCTCTCTCTCTCTCTCTCTCTCCCTTTCGCTGTTTATATAGATAACATTGTAAGGAAGCAAAAAAAAAAAAAAGTGAGTGAAATTCGCAAAATCGTACAACCCGTTCGCTGCAGCATTAACAAGTGGGTGTTAATAAAAAGAAAATATTTATATTATAATATTTTACTTACAATCGTTTGTGTTCTTGTTAATGTTAGAAAAATATCATTTTATGTAAACAGCTTCCATATGATACTAGAAAGAAAAGTAAACAAAAATTTGAAGGTCGTTTTCATTGAACAATTTAGAATAATAAACGCAAAGAATAGAGAGAGCATACACAATACCTAATTAAAGGTCAGGTGGGTTAGTTAAGGGGAAGTGATTGCTAATGATATGATTTACATATGCATTTTTTTGCGCTTTCTTGTCTTTATTAATATTGTTCACATTCGCTCTTCTATCCACCCGCACACTTTTTATTATTTATGTTTCTCTTCTTTCTCTCTTATTTTCAACACAATAAACACACGTTTTTATATATAAATCATTTTAGCACAAAAGAGAATCAAAAAAAAAAAAAATAGGATTTTAACTAAAAATTATTTATAAGATTTACAATAATTTGATATATTGGTAATTGTATTAAAACTTTTCCTTGCGCGTATGCTTTATGAAAGGAAAGAGAAGAAACTTACATAAGTTTTTGTAGAAGATTGCTTCTCGTAGGAGAAAGTCTCATATCGAACAATGCATTCTCACTCAGTGCAGAATGCAAAATAATTCAAAAGTACAAAAGAAAAAGATGCTGACCCCACTCCACCTAACCGCTTATTAAATTATATAATGCAACAAGCGGTTTTCTTAGTTAGTTAATAGAAAAAAGCAGAAAATCAAATATTATGAGCGTGTAGTCAAAACGAACAGTAAATGCCGAAGTCATTTATCGCAACTTTTCTCTGCTAATGACAAGAACCACCGATTTCTACAAAATTATCAATTTATTAGCAAAATAGCAATAAATGTAAGAAATATATGTAAGAAAACAAACCTTTCGTTATGTTAGATATTTTTGTTCAAAGATGCAAGCTGCTAATCTATTCTTTATCTTTATTTTTAATTTTTCATTTTTACCGCATCTAATACACAGACAACCTTTGCTTTGCACTTTGCTCCTTTTGTACGAGTTTAAAATCAAAGTTAAAAAAGAGGGCACGCCTTTGTATGCATTTATTTGTACTGCATTCCAATTCATCATCATCCTCATCCTCATCATCATCATCATCATCATCATCATCATCATCATCATGATGCTTTAGGTAAATGCCCTCACATATTTTGATCATTTTTTCACACGAAAAATGCATATACTGAGAAAAATTGGCACAATACACATTGGTCACAAATATTCTCCATCATTTTCTACAACTGTTTTCCATCTTTCCGGCAACGTGGCAATACCGAGTCGAAAGAACGAAACTGCTTTGGTAGCAATCCAACCGTCGACCCACTTCCGCAACTTTGAGCCTTCCACGATTACCATATGTGTACACTAACACTAAATGAAAAACTGTTATTTTATATAGAGAAAGGTCGAAATCATCGAATTTGATCGTTGCGTGGATTGATATTTCGCGTTACTTTATCATCTTCAGGAGTAGATGTCGCTGATCAAAATAGATGCAATCACCTATCCTATTACTTGTGCCAAAATCAAGGCACATGCTTCACTCTGTAAATTAATTCAAATGCGGGTTTTTCCATTCCCACTACTCTACCCTATGCTGTTGAGTTATTTTATTGAAGATGTTAGTTATCCTTATTTTACGTCCACCAAATGATTCAAAGATATGGTTATTTATGGTTAATTTCGGCTTGCGCGGTTTTCCATACGAAAATTTTCATTTCTATTTACGCATTCTTGTACCTAACCTAAAGAAAGCCGTTTATCAAATATATATATAAAAAATGTATCGTTATTGCCAGTGATGAAATTGTGAAAAAAATATTTTAAATAAAACTTTCCAAAGTCCGTTGTTAAATCAACGAAGAAAGGAATGAGACGCTTTATTTGAGCATAGACCTGAACTCCAATGTTCGCAAATCATGAAAAAAAAAATTACTAATATGCTTGCAGACTGCACATACATATGCAAAATTAAATAATGAGAATAATGAAAACTGCACATTAAAGAGATTCTCAAGCAGTTGACAATCATTGACGAGTATATAACTTTGGCCGCACAATTTAAGTTCACATTTTTCAAAAAATTCGGTACAGCTACCTGGGGAACGGAAACAACTGGCAGACCTGAAATAAGCCAGAAAAACACAGACGCACAAACCCAAATTGATTTAGAAATGCGATCCAAGATTATTTACTCCTAATCGGTTTTGAAATGGAACGATTGTCGTAATATCCGACCTTAACTTAGTTGTAGGTTGTTGCTCCTTTCTTTAGCTGACTTCAGGATTTAGCTAAATAACATTTAGTGGATAAGTGACAAACGCAAAATTTAAAACCTTATATTTCGGGTGTAAAAAAAAAAATTACTTACGACATTTGTCGTCGTTGCATCAGAATTGCTCCCATTAGCAGATATTACACATGTGTCTGGGACATCTATCCGGTTTGATTCAAATGAAGGATTTTGGTATGTTATTAACAGCTTTTGCCGGTTTTTTTTGTTGTTACAAAGTCTGTTATTATTATTATTATTATTATTAATGATGTCGCCAGGGAAAGTCTTAAAAAAAAGCACTAGAATGTAAGGCTATTGGCTTTTATTAAAAACTCTACCGCACTTGAGATTCGAATCCAGGACCATTGAGTTGCTAGTCGAGATTCCTCGCCTTCGGCCATTCAGGCGGATACACAAAATCTGTTACTAACAGTTCTTGATTGGATTTCTCCTTTTGCTTTTATAATGTGTGCTATCCACCTATATGGACAAAGAAATGCTCTTCCACACTTGTAGCATATCCCAAGCTCTACCGAATTAAATCTGCCGTCAATAACTGAGCTTCACCTTTGACTTTGTCATTACCGAGGTCTTATCAGAAACTGTCATAAATTCGATTAAATGTTCCCGATCCATTTAATGAAATTATTTACGAACTGAACTCTCTTACAAAAAATAAGTATTAGATAACAAAATAGTGTGCTCAACTAGAAGTATATCGAGATACATAAAAAATCGATCATAAAATTCGGATATTCCTTGTATTAGGCCGAGTAACTTAAATACGTTACGGTATTTGCACAAGTGAATATTGTGACCGTTTACGTAAGCTTCTGTAAGACAGTCAAAAACTTAAAATAAAAGGAATGTGTTTTGGGATTCGAGTGAAAGACCTGTATTTATTTATTCTTATTGGGGGTTCGTACTATTTCGAAACTCTACTATTGTATACGCTATACCACTGCACCTAATCTATGTATTCAGTCGTCTTGGTAATAATACGCCAAAACTTCATTTTATTTTTATGCAAAGCAGATTTTTCATCGAAACTCTGAATATTTTCGCGTGATAGACCTAGGTCATCCAAATTAAATAACGTTGATCTCTATGCCAATTTACCACTAAGAAGTAGAAATCTTCACCATGAAATATTAAAAAAAAATGCCTTCTTACTATATAACGATACAATTTTCATAGGAACTGTTATATGAGAAAGGGTTCAAAAATTTGCCCAAACTAAACAAAATTTTTCTAATCAATTTACAATGTGCAAACACTATTGTACAGCAAGTTTCATCAAGAAATTTTTTTCAGAAACTGCGTATTATATGTGTCCGCACAAACTTAATCTACCCTGTACCACATGTAATGTAAGGTATAAAAAGACTGTGAAGAAAAGAGAGCGGAAGTTGCTGCGCAAATTCGTGCCATTGAAATACCTTCGAATATTCCTACAACTTACTCCCGATGCTTACTCTACAAATATTGATAAGTTTTATATATATCATGTGATTATGTGCAATCGCTTTTCACCGACGACTTCAGCGTAAGCCGCATAACCAATGAATTCCGAAATTCCGATCATACGGTACATTTAACGTTGAAGACACAGGTATTTCTATTCGTTCAACGAAAATTAGGATATAACTGATATATATATATAGACAAGATTTTTAGTCTATCTATATGTATATTAGACAAGCAAGTAGGTACCTCCATAAGCTATTGCCCTTTCTAATAGCTTAAAAAGAAAACCGATTGCGTTCTTCGTTATTATCTTTTAGAAAAATATAAAAAGAAGATGAAAAATTTCAAGAAACTGTTGTTTCAAGTCATAACCATTTTAGGTCAAGCCAGCAAACACATGGTATTTCAAATATTCGAAAAATATGCTTAAGAATAACTCGTTGTTAACCAACAATGGCCAGAGAACTGAAAACATACATTTTTACAGCAAATAAACGTAGGAGAGAATCTTTATATAAAGGGCACTTTAAGAATAACAATTGAATAAAAGCGGCACCGAAACGCTTTTAATGTATAGGAATATATATAAAAATAAAACAAACATGATCAAAAGCAAAACAGTAATGATTAGAAGCGATATAAACAAGGATAGAAAATAGAAGAACAAGAACAAATTTAAGGAAGCTAAGCAAATTTAGAAAAAAAAGAGAGAAAAATCGGAAAAAAATAAACAAACTGACGGAACGAGAGTAAATGCAAAGGCGGGGAGAATGGGAAACATAGAGAGAAGTTTCTAATGAGCTACTTCTAAAATACAGGGGAAATGTCAGAAAAAAAGAAACTTAGCGAGAGAGAATAAAAACAAGAAAGTCATTATAAAAACAGCAATAACAATAATACATACCCGTTTTATATGCTAAAAATGATACATTGACGTATAAATGGGCACAAGGTATAATTCTTATTTTTATTTATGCATGAAATGATATAAGAATTGCATTTAAGAAGATTCCTTTCTCCTTTTAATTATGTGGCAAACGATTTCTATTTATTTGTATTCAGCATATTTTCTTCGCAGTCAATCAACATTAACCAATATGCGAAAATAGGCAACACACGCCACGTTTTCTTGTGACATTCAATTGCACCTAAAAGATTTGCACTCGCTTTTTTTTGTTTTTCTACTTCTTTTTAATTTGTATGAAATTTGTTGGGTTTTCCATGAAATCTAGTCAATAACATGCCACTTTTTCTCATGTACGCACTTATTCGTTTCTTTTCTTCATTTTTCTAATTTGTAAATAAAGAAAAAAAAAAAAACGATTTTCTTTCTTTCTTTTTTATGCCAACTTTCACAATTTTCTAATGCACATTTTTTTTCTTTTTTTTTTTTTTTAAATGAAATATTTTCTCAATTTTTTCTTTTACTTACATAAAATTATTGCGATTTTATTTTTCTTTTTCTCTTCCGCACGCAAAAATATAAATCTTTTTTTCCTTTATAAATTATTTTATTTTGTGTAAAAAAAAATAGTAATAATCCCTTTTTATTTTTATTTATAGCGCTCGGATCGACTTATTTAACACGCACTCAATTCAAAAAATGTCACAAATGTTGGATTGTTCGTGAATGTTATGCAGTTAACAAACGAAAAATACGAAAGAAGAAAATCCAAGAATCGCACGTAAGAGCACAACATTCATTAAGAGCACATATATATACACATTTCTCTTAATAACAAAAGTTTCCCTTTTTCGTACTCATTTCCTTTGCTATTGTGCATCGCACGTAATACAATTCCAAATTCAATAACATAATTCAAAATTCCATACTCTCACATAATTCAGCTCAAAATTCAATAACATAATTCGAAATTCCATACTCTCACATTATGCAAAATTCGCCCACAATTAGATAGCACGGCTTTCGGAAAGGGCGATCTACAGTCACCAACTTGTTAGAGTTTACCTGCCATGTTTTCAAGGCTTTTTCTAGTGGCTCTCGCACAGATGTTATTTACACTGATTTAAGCAAAGCATTTGACCACAGCCTACTTATCTTTAAACTCCAAGCCTCTGGTTTCCCACCCTACTTAGTGAAATGCATAAGCTCTTATCTGCACAGTAGATCCTTCAGGGTTTTGTTTAACTCCATCACCTCGGATGAATTCCCCGTTACGTCTGGCGTACCACAAGGAAGTCACTTAGGCCCCATTTTATTTAGTTTGTACATTAACGATGTCCCGATCGGTGGTTAATTCCAGCCAGATCTTAATGTATGCTGATGATGTGAAACTGTTTTCTTCCTTCTCTGTTGAGTCGCAATCACATCAGCTTCATGGTGATTTGGATAATTTTGTTGCATGGTGCTCTTTGAATCTTCTGAAACTAAATCTAAACAAATGTAAGGAGCTTTCTTTCTCAAGAAGGAAGTCATTCATTACACAGTATTTCATTGATTCGCATAAGGACGTTGATTCGTTCACAGATTTAGGTTTTCTATTTGACCATAGGTTACGTTTTAACTTGAATATTAAGCTCTAGTTAAGCAAAGCTATGTCCGCGCTTGGTTTTATAAAAAGGTGGTCCAAAGAGCTTGATGATCGCTACATTACGAAAAGGCTGTAAATTGTTTAGTTAGACCCATTCTCGAGTATCCCTCTGTTGTGTGGTCTCCTTTATATAGGTGCTATGTAGATTCAGTTGAATCTGTTCAAAAGCAATTCTTGGTGTTTGCCCTTAGAAATTTGGGTTGGGATCCGATTGCCTCTCTTCCTCCCTATGAACATAGGTTGCTTCTGCTATCCTTACCGTTTCTTGAGAAACGTAGGTTTGTTCTTGGCGTTTCCTTTTTAATTAAAGTAATAAATGGTGCTATTGACTCGCCTTCATTACTTGGTGAAATAACCGCTTCTCCAGGCACTTTATCTTGGGTAAACTTAATCAGTGTAAATTTAATTATGAGCTGTTCAATCCGCTCAGAGTCGTTTGCAAGAACCTAAATGACGTCTACCACTTATTCTCGTTATCGGACTCTTTAAGGTCCATTAAAGCAACATTGCTTAATACGCGCGATTTACCTATGTCGTATTTAAACTAGCTTTTGTCCTTACGTCGTTACGTTTCGAAAGTGAATTATTGTCAATTTATTATCGGTTGCCAGGCTTATGCATGTTTGCGATGGCTTAGGGGTTCATTTGCAATTTGGTCCTGTACCGGTTGTAAGTGTGTTTCTATGCTAATAGTGTACATGCTTTTTTTTCTTTTTCTTTTTTTTTCTTCTTATTTGTTTTATTATGCTTATACCCAATTTTATTGTTAATTAATATTAGTTTTGCATTAAGAGCCTATTGAACTCGACTGTTATTTGTTTAGTTGAGTTTCTACTATAAGTGGAATAAATAAAATAAATAAAAAATAAACTGGGAAGTTATTGCCTTCCAAACTGATGTGGGAGAGCAAAATATTCCTTTAAGTAACTACAAAATTAATTTAATTAC